ATTTATAGAGAAACAGCACCGCAGCCAGAGTTGGGTGTAACGCGCTACAAAGTAACGCGTTACTGTAATAATATTACTTTTGTCGGTAACGGAGTAGTGTAACGCGTTACTTTTATAATTCAGTAATCACACTACAGTTACTAACATTGCCCTGACACGCGTTACTTCGTTACTTTTATAAAATCAGTCATAATCACACTGACAGACAAGAGGGGTTTCCGCCGCAGGTTTATATGTACGTAATCTGCGCGACTTGCACGTCCACATCTTCACGTGCAGTGCTGCATAAACATGGCTGAGTCAGCGATAACTTTCGAGGGGTGGAGGTATGCCCATTATTTTGAGTTCGTCCGAAGAATAGACAGGAATGTGACGGTGAGGTGCAAACTGTGTCCAGGCCAGAAGCTGTTATCCACTGCTGCAAACACCACGTCAAACCTCAACAAACACCTGCAAAGAACACATGCTAAGGTGAAGCTAATAGCTAAGGACCCCCGAACCCAGAGTGAGGATGTTGTGAGTCGCCGCCGCCGACCGAATCAGCACAAATTAGAATTTGGAGGACCGGTAACCAAAGCAGAGATGGACAGGCTTGTAGCATCCTTCATAGTAGAGTAAATGTTGCCCATTTGCACAGTGGAATCACCATCGCATCGTTCAGAGATATACTGCGCAAAATACAGATAGCAGGAGACAGAGGACAGCCATGGTCAGAGCTATCTGGATCAGTCTTATGCGACAATGGAAACTGAACTAAAGAGAACATTTGAAACTTTAGCAGTCTGCGTGATCTGCCTGTAGGGAGGGGCGGGCCGGCCCTGCGAGTAAAGTAACGAGTAAAGTAACAAGTTACGAAGAGAGTAACGAAGTAGTGTAATATATTACTTTTTTTAAAAGTAATATGTAATATGTAATATATTACTTTTTTTTAGTAACGACCCCATCTCTGACCGCAGCCGTAGGCTGGAGCCTGGTCTGGTCTGGTCTATGGAGGTGTTCTTGTTTACATCACCTGGCGCAGCGGTGGCCTAGCAACCCGCTAGCAACATGCACAGCTGCAATAAGCTAAAAAGCTAACTAAACCGAAATTGAGCCAGAACCTTTCCTTTTTTACGACAAAGATAATCAGATTATGAATGAACAGTCTGCAGTAAATCAACATTAAAATATATGTTATTATTAAATAATATTCAACTGTTATTTAGAACTTAGTGCAACTGTAGTGTCATGCTGTTCGGTTGTCTCACTGCAAGAACCACTTTTACCACGTCTTTTACAGACAATATGTAGAGACAAATGGTAGCAATTCTCACAATGTAAATAATAATTGCCTTAAATATATTGAAATGTGAAAGCTGACATATTTAACATATTTAACAAATGTAATGCAATGAATAAGCTTAATTGTCACAGAAGCACACATAACGTCATATCTAATATTTAAACAAATCATTTCCTTGTCCCTAAAGCATTGACCATGCCAGGGTTGCCAACTTTGGGTACCTGGCTGGAGTGAGATTTTGATATCATGGGTTTAATTACACATATGCGCACTAAATGACTGCTATCATGTCAGTAGCGGGACCTTAGCATATATATAGGATATATATACAATATATACAAATACACAATATTGGACACAGACTATAAAGGGCACAAAGTTTCATTCACTAATGAAAGTCAAACACATGTTTGTTTCCACTGTTTTATTGTGTGCCTGTCGCGCAAATAAGCAAATAATTGACTTATCGTACGATAAATTAAAATGAACTCGATAAATTGTCATTTACATGAGGATGTGACTAGCAGTTTGAAAGGATGTACTTGAATTATTATTATATATCATCATTATGTCAGTGGTCTAAAATGATCATACAACGGTGCCGACAATATTATCGTTTATCGCAATAATTTCCGGGAAAATGTATCCAACAAAATTAATTATCGTGAGAGGCCTATACATGAAACACACACACACAAACAAATCTACAGACTTACTCCAAACTGCCAAATATATTAATTAACACACTCTCACTCTCATATACTCTTTGACTCTATTTTGGCCTAGTAGAACAATAAGCAGCAGACTTTTACTTTTTTATCATTTCTACTGGATCTTAGATCTGCGCAATACGGGTCGGGGATTGACCAACCGGCTCCCACTGCTCTGCTGTCTGTTAACGTTGTTAAGAGTGGTGGGGGCGGGGAGGGAGCGGATTGACAGCTTGAGCAGCTGTCAACTCAACATTGTAAATAACCAACCAAAAACGATCGCCGGTTCATCTTGTTTTTGGCGTGAGAATAGGTTGGGCAGCGTGAGAGCGTGAGATTGAGAGTGAAAGCATGTGTCACACGCCAGATGCGTGAGAGTTGGCAACCCTGGACTATAGCTGTCTGCATCGTCGAGCATAGATATTTTAAATTAACAATAACAATGCTAACTAGCAAACTAACTAATGTACAAGCATGACCTTATTTTACCAACCTCACCGAGAAGTCTTTTGTTCTACAGTATAATCCTTCTTAATGTTTTACACTTCTCTATTATGTTTTAACTTGTATGCTACGGATAGCATCGTTAGCACAGATGTAGCTTCGTCTCGCTCGTTAGCTGAATAAAAAGACCAGTAAGAAATAAAGTGCTTGAATTTCACTTACGGAAGAAACTGCATTCATGGACGGTCTGTTTGAACCGCAGAGCCATAAGATAAGTGCGATATTTCAACACAACAAACGCGTCCAAGTTCAAGCTGTGTTCTCTGTATCAGCTGAGCCCCTGTAGCAGCCTGGAGCTAACGGGGCTAACGGAGCTAGCAGAGAGACCACTAGCAGTTTGGTACTTCCGTTTCATTACAATGACTTCCGTTACAGCAAGAATCCCCCTAACACACATACAGTAGGTGAAACACATGCACATTCCCTACTGAGAACTTTTCAGTAAAATGTTTTTCAGGAGTGTGTGTGCGAGGTGTTCAGTAGTGAATATGCAACCCAGTCTCACGGCATTTTGTGTTATAGTCACAAAATTAATTTAATCTATTGATTCGTGTTCACCAAGCCGATTTTCGCATTTTTTTCGTGTCACAGAACGATTTTAAAAGCAATGTATTTCTATTGGTAGTATATTTCGTGCCTGCACCACGTCTTTTTGTCCATTCGGGTCTTGGAAGACCGGAAGCTGTGTGGTTCATAAAAACATTTTCTTACTCTAACCCTAACCCTTTTATTTTAAATAGTATAATGTCGGAATTTATTTACCGTCCGTGAGGAAAAGAAATGGGGCTCAGAGCCTCAGAATAGCCTACTGAAATCTGTATTTTTTTAAATCTTTTTTTCCTTCTAATTTGTTAATAATTCCTTCATTCACCGTCTTTTCTTCCTCGAGCTCTTCTTTATCACCTCGCTCCTTTTTCTTTGATGAGTATCTAGAGTCTGAATCGCAGCTGTCAGCATCAGCCCATTGTGTGGTAACATTACTCCACACACACACACACACACACACACACACACACACACACACACACACACACACACACACACACACACACACACACACACACACACACAAACACCGTCTGGTCTGTGAGAGTTTCATCTTGTCTGAGTCTTCTCAGGACAGAGGGGAGGGAGGAGCTGCAGTGCAGGAAGCGAGTAAGAGGGCAAGAGACACCTAGAGACACATGGGGAGAGAGAGAGAGAGGGAGAGCAAGGCAGCAAGGTAGAAAAGCGTCAGCGTCAGCAAGTTGTATTGATTAAAAACTAACCTTCCAGTCTTCTCCTCTATCACTACTGCACACACACACTCACACACACACACACACACACACACACACACACACACACACACACACACACACACACACACACACACACACAAGTAACTGTTTACCTTCACGTGCTTTTTACAAACTTTCACTTGACGTTGGAAATGTAAAAACAGATTTCTTAATTCTATTTATTTTTGATATAGTGTAAAGGTTTGTGTGAGGGTCTTCACTCCAAATCAATAGTTTTTTGTGTGATCTGTGTGTGTGTGTGTGTGTGTGTGTGTGTGTGTGTGTGTGTGTGTGTGTGTGTGTGTGTGTGTGTGTGTGTGTGTGTGTATCTTGGTGCGCAAAGGAAAGGAGGAGGAAGAGGATGGATGTGACGAAGAAGGTGGGATGGGATAGGGGGTGGAGGCAGATGCGGTTGCCTTGGCAATGGTAGTCACGTCCCGGGCCGTCTGGTTGTCCCTGGCAACCAGACATGATGTAAGGCGGGGATGAACTTGAACTTGGCAGGGGCAGTGAGGAAGAGGAGGAAGAAGAGGGGGAGATTCATGGAACATCAACAATGCACCTTTGGCAATCAATAGTGGCCAATCAGAGATGGATTACACTCACACATGCACAGAGAAGGAGGGAGAGTTTGGTTCAAACAGGAAGAACGTGTTGTAATGTCCCGACTGAAGGCAGGAAAAACGGTGTTGTGTTTGAGATCACTATACATTAAAAAAGACTCTTTAACTGTATGACCAAACCCTGACATCCATCAGGAGAAAACCAGAACATGTTGAGAGTTTTTGAGCACATACTAGTCTTCTTTCCATTGACTTTGTTTTCAAGTGCTTTGGATTAAAATTTGAGCTTGATTACTTTAGAATTGATCCTCTGTGGAAAATGAATATTTAATGAAACATTTTATGACAATCTCCACTATGGACTAAAGATGTAGTGTATGTATTTATATATCAAAATATTTCTCTTTTTTTGAAAATCGTCTTGAGCAAAGGGGTGCCTAATAATGTTTCCAATAATACATGGTGCAACAAGCTAACACATCCAGTTTCATAAAACTCATGCCAGTTCCACGATTTAATGCTTTGCAAGTGTTTTGATGTCAATTGGTAATTACCACGCATACAGCTCATTGTTTAAATCTCAACAGTCCCTAACAGGTGAACATATCTTTCTGACTCCATAAGACTCCATCTGAACATGTTTTTCTGTCTCTCTCTCCAGTGGTACCTGGGATAAGGACTCCAGAGGCCCCTCACCCCCCCACCCACCTGTACCGAACGACAGATCGCTGCAGCCTCCTCCTAGACCTTGACCTTTGAGGCCAGCTGCATCAGAGAGTCCTTTCTTGTCCCGCAACTTGAGCCCTCCTCTGCCCCCCCCTGCGCCTGACTCCGCCCCCACCAGCGCCATACACAGACTCAGCAGCATCAGCATGGCTATAGCGGATCCAACGCACCGCAAACCTGCCGTTCAACACCGCTCTGTAAACTCTACGTCGTAGACTTCCTTGTAGACGTATGGTTCATATGTCAATATTCATTTATAGTGCCAGACCCTGACCCCCCCCCCCACCTAACGGCCAGTCCAGAGGAAAAATCTGCAGGGGAATTTTTGGCAACGTCGCAACTCAAAACCACAGAGCTTTCACTCTGGAGAAACCACAGCTACCCCTTCATCATCCTCTGCTATGTGTGCATCATTTGGACTTGTTGTCCGATAGGGGATGTGTTACCTGGCTGAGATACCAGCTAAAACTCCCCATCCCTTTACCTGAGCCCTCACACACCTCCTGGGATTGACTTCACCCTCACTTGACCTCGCCCCTGGTTGATGGCAAGTCAGGGGGGGAAGGAAGTCACCAAGGCTCTTTCCAAGGACATGGACCAGTGCTTAATAGAAAGAGCTTACCTGATTGGGAGATGGTGCACAAACACCCTTTCTCTGTTATAAGATTAACTAAACAGGAAAGGTTGGGAGGGTTAGGATGGGGGATTACAGTTGAAGGTGGGGTCAAAAACGTGGGGGAAGCAGGGGTTTGTCGAAGTGTTGCGACCAGACGCTGGTGGATCCACGCTTGTTTATCTGGGAGGCTTTAGCTTCATGGCTCATTGATTTTTCTATCTTAGCCGTTATGTCAGCTGGTCTCCACCTCTTCCTCTTCTGTCCATCCACCAGACTGGGTGGAGCTACAACATGCAGGTGTGGGCAGAGAGCTCTGGTGTTTGATGTGCAGCAGGAAGACAGGAGAGAGATGAGTGACTCTAATTTTACCAGTGGAATATTGATCATGAGGAAAGTGCAATTTTGTTGGCTAGCTGTTGAAAGTTAAATATCTTTGTAAGATAGCTCATTGCAAACAGTTGTTGAAAAGTATATATAAACTATATTTTTCTTCCTAGTCCGCTCACACCTCTGGGACTCTAAAATATTGGGGTACAAAAGACAACAAGACAGCATTGAACTAGAAACCATAGCCTTGTGAGAAATAGAGGGAGCTGTATTCACATTTATTGTTTATTATGTGTTGTTTGTTCATCTTGTAAAGCTGTTAGCATGGTAGAACAAAGATCCCTTTAAAGAAATATAATTTTAAACAATCAATTTTTAAAGCATTTCTTGCAGCTTAAGACTGCTTTTCATTTTGTTTAAAAGCAAAAGACGCTAAGCGATTAACTCGTTTTAATGAGCACATAATTTTACTTCATAATCTAAAGCTATTTCAATTTCTCATGAGGCGAAATCAGGAGAAAATATAGTCAATTTAAGCTGAAATGTCATCATGTTTTCTCCGGTTTCTGCGAGATAATCTATGACGGGTGTTCCCCGGTGACGGGCTGCCCAATGATTGGCTGGGTCTCCTAGAGGTCCCGTCCAATCAAAAGCACTTAATCCTGCAGTTGGCCAATAGGCCGTGAGTGTATAATCAGGGGGTGTGGTTAAGCGATAAAGAGGCAGAGCAGAGGGTAACTCCGGAAGCTTTCGTCCACAAATAGACAGCCAAGAGCTTCACATGCAACTTACCATTTTATTCAACTGTTTTTTTTTTCTTTTCTATACTATATATATAAATATATATACACACACGCACACACACACTTACGACCATCCAGTGTCGAACAAAAGTGAATTTAAGTGATTTACAAAAAAAGAATTAAAAAAATTGCATGTTCTAGTGTTAGTGACACATTTTTCCATAGATGATGTAGTTAGTGAGATAAAGACACTATATTGTAAACCCAACATCAGGCACTTGCCAGCAGCTGTCTATTACTTTGGCCCCGTCGAGGCCTTTCATTATGGCTCTCCTTCACAAACAACCAGCTCTCTTCGCTCCTTGACATCTCTCCAGTCTTTTTTTCCTACCTTCTTCCCTTACTCCTACCTTCTTTTTTTCCGTACAGCAACAGATTAATTCTGCCTTTTATTTCCAAGCGTTCTCTTTTCCATCTGTGCATTATCAAAATGCATGAACAAAAATGTTTCCTCATGAATGTGCCTTGAGCTACAGTCCAGTCCTGAGAGGTTGCACATGATCCAACGTGGACAATCTTGTTTTATTGTTTCTCCCTTTTTTAATTTACATTTTTCAATTCACCTTCCACACCTAAAGAAAAATGTCAAAGCGTTTTAATTTGAAGAGGAACGCATGTGTTTACGAGAATACTTATGGCTCAGTTTTAAGAGGATGCAGGCATAAACTGAACTGCTCCCCCCCCCACCTGCAGTTATAATGCAGACCTTACAGGTTAAGTTTACACCAGCTACAACCAGGTCAATCATCTCCAGGTAACCTTTAACAGACCACAACACAGTGACATTTTGTGAAATGAGCACCATGTCAGTTACAAAGATGATAGACATCTGCAATGAAAATCTTATGTAAAAACAACACACTGTTAATATTACATATTCAGCAGTTGGCTAACACTCAGATGTAGCGCCTTGACATGTTTCATTCAAGTTAGATAAAAGTAAGATGCAAAAACACTGTAACATTAGTTAATGGTCCATTATAACAGCTAGAGCTGGTTTGAGGTAGAAATAATGTTTCAAACATTTTATTTTATATTGACACTCTGTAGTTCCTGATGGCTTGTTTAGCAGCTACACAGTTTGGTTAGTTTACAGTTCAGTTTAGCTGCTAAACACTTTCGAGTCAGGTTAGCTAACTGTTAAGTTTAGCCTCCTAAACAGTTTGATCAGCTTGGCCAGTTTGCTCACTAATTCCAGCAGTTTAGTTTAGCAGCTAAAGTTGTTTGGATCAGCTTAGCTAGCAGGTTTTCCCCTGGTCCCCGACAGGTTAGCAGCTACAACAGTTTGCAAACTGTTACATTTCAATTTCAATTTGAAGGGAGAATTTTTCATGTAAAGAGTAAGATTAGGATTAGGATAACCTTTATTATTCCCCAAAGGGAAATCAGTTCTTCTCTCAGTTCTCTGGTGTTATTTTACAATGACATACTACATAGGCCGGTAATACACAGGACCCACAGACATGTACTAATAGTGATGTGGCAGAGCGGAGGGGAACTAGCAGGAGGTGAACCGGCACCTCTCCAGCTAGCCCAATCAGGCGTACCTTTGGTTCCCAAGCCAAGTCTTCAGAGACTGATCTCCCGCCCCTGTACTGGGTGAAGACATTGTGTTCATTTCACAAAATGTTTTGATGCCAGTAATTGATAAAGCAAACTAGCTGGTAGAAAACCATGTTGAACCCCACCCACTCCCTTCATCCTATCCTTTGTTTTATTGGATGATTTTTTTTAAATGTATTTCTGTTATTACAATTTCCAAACATCCCAAACTTTTCAAGTCTTCCTTTTTTAAATTCTGTTTGGATGGACTTTTTTGTTCCCAGAAATGAATTATGAGGACATCAATTATGCAATACCTGCTTGCACTCACATAGACTTTTTTTTGTCTTACATTGTTTAGTTTATTTTTTTCTTTCTCATTTCTTTCAACCAAAGTAAACGTGCACGTGACAGGCATCATGCTCCATCGTTGGTCCCAAGCCAGGCTAAAAGCCACCATTGCTAGGGGAACTATACTTCCTTCCTTCCTTGCCACCTTCTTTCCTTCCTATTTTGATAATCTACCAGATAGCGGCAATATTACATTTGGTCTCTTATTGCTAAAGGTTTTTTGTTTATTTGCTCACAAGCAAGCCTTAAACAAGTCCAACTTCTTCTCCATCGCGCAGAAAACCGTTCATCAAAAAAAATGTTGATGACGTCCAAAATATCCACCACGCCCCGCCCTGCTTGGCAGTGGTTTTAGTAATTCAATTGTTTACCTGTTATGTGTTCTATCTGTCTATCAAATGAATCAGACAGCGACGTGATGCCGTTAGCTGTGATGGTTAAGTAGTTCCACTTGTGTGGGTTGCGTGTTTTACTTAGCGTGACATGTTTGTTTGGTCTGTTCTTGCTTACCCTTTAGCCATGAGTTGGGCATTACTTCCTTAATTCTCTGCACTAAATATGAAACAAATGATAAAAGTGAAAAAGTATTACATAACAAAATACAGCTTCCAGGGCTTAAAAAGAGCGAAGGGAATAAAAAAATTGCACGGACATTTTTTTAAGTGTCACAAAAACCTTGTGAAACAGCCTAGCATCTAATCAGAGACTTTTGGCTGTGTTCTGTGTAAGATAAAGACACAATTGCACCCTTTTTAAAGAAAGATAAAATGAAAAATAATTTAAAATCAATAGTTTGGGCAGTGTATGTTTTTGTTGTGTTGTGTGTGTAATTTAGTTCCGGTACAGCAGCGAAGAGACGCAGAGAAGACTTAGCTCTAACGACGGGAGGCAGAGCCTGGGAGACGTGTTTGTATGTTGTATAGTTTTATTGATTACACTGATTTTAAAGCTGCCCTATTTTATAATGCAGGACTTTTGTAACATTGATAAAAATGAGGAAAAACTAGTGTCGTGAATTTTCTGATTGTTTGTATCGAGGCCACATTACTAGAACTTGTTTGGTTTGTTTCTTGGAACTGGATTTAAGTTGAAAACTTTCCAGTTTCCTTATTTTCTTTATTTTTTTCTTTATTTGCTTTCCTTTTTATATGTATTTAAGAACATTTCCTCTGTTGATGGTATAGCATATTCCTGTACTTCAAAAGTATAGGGCGCTGTGGTGATAAGACCATTGTAAATGGATGTTACAGTATGCTGTATGTTTTGAAGGTTATTTGTTGCATTAGTGTTGATGAACCTACATCTTTTGAGGAAGATTGGTAAGAAGAGCAAGTGTTTTTTATGCATTTAAAATTTTAGTTTTAGGCAGGAGACAGCCAAAGGATGCCCCTACTATAAATGCATCTAGGCATCTTTTTTTGTGTTCACCATTCCATGCAGGAAAATAAACAGCTTGATTATGCAACATGATCTTTTTCTTTTCCATCTGTTTCTTTCTTCACTGGCCCAAAAGATCACCTCCTCCTCCTCTTCCTACTCCTCCAGCCCCCCCTAAGCCTGGAGGTCCACTTGGATCTCCCCATCTTCACATCCTCTGCTGCTCTTCACTGCATTACATTCATGGAGCAGGGTAAAGGGCTGAGGGAGGGCAGGTCACCAGGATAAGGGACACTTCAAGTGTGGTCAGAGTGGCTGTTCATGTCTACAATCCTGTTCAGTTTGATGGCTTTAATCACAAAAGCAGATCTTGTTTGTTAACTCTATGAATGTTCTGATGTGAACATTGCAGTGTTCCACCCACATGGGAGGAACACTTGAATCTCTGCTGCTGCTCTTTTAGACATCTGTCCAGGACTACACTGGATGTGTTGAGTCACAGCTAGTGATGCAACCAACAATCATTTTCATCATAGATTCAGTTAACTATCATTGAAGACAACAAAGGACATTTTAATTGAGAACAACATAATCATTAATAAACACACTTTTTTTTTTACAAATCTCAATACACAATCAATTAGGATACACATGCAGGTTGGACAAAAACAGAAACAATTTGACAGCAGTTGCAACTACAAATAAATGTGGCTTTACACAGGCAGTAAAGAGGGCTGTATTGATTGAAACTCGAGCATATCTGTTATGCCAGATGCCCAAGAGGCTGGAATAAAGGTTCTCCAAAGATACTCAACAACATATTTGTGTGTCTTTAGGTCAAAGAAGGGTGTTATGGTTAGGCAGTCTCAAAACAGAAAAAGCAAAAAACCGTATTAAAGGAGTATTAGAGAAACAGTGAACAAATGTCAGTGATCTACAGTAAACTAAATATGTTGCAGCCTCAAAACAAACCTAAAAATGTGATGACACACATTCAGTGTAGACACACTTTCAAAAACCATCTGCATTCCTTACAAACCCATGTTGTTTTTCCCAAATTGTTTCAAACCTCCATAATTCTAGTGAATGCAAAGATACCGAATAAGGTATTGAAAAAAATCAAACAGTGGAAGAAGGCAAAAAATGAGCAACAACTCCTATCACACTGGAATGAGACTTATTGAAGTGAAGGCTTTGCAGAGTCCCAGCTCAGGGCGGTGGGGGTGATGGGGGTGATAGAGGCTGTGGAGGCACTGAGTGTGTAGCTCACTACACCCAGTTCACCTCATCCACAAAACCAACAGCAGACACACAAAGCCGAGGCTCAGCAGAGAGCAACAAGGCCTTAAGGCCGATCTGCTGCACCAAGCATCTGAACCAACACAGCAGCATAATGCTAACTCACAGCAGCATAATGCTAACTCACAGCAGCATAATGCTAACTCACAGCAGCAGGGACCTGTTCTGACACTCTCATGATTTGACAAACAAATCTGACAAACCACTCTGAGCCTCTGAATCCCGCAGCTTCCACCCTTCACCCCGCATTTAGAAAACTCTGACCTTAAGCTTGTCAAACTAGTATAATGAGCCAGAGCTGGAGTCGACGACTGTCTTAGTAATTTCCAAGGATCTTTTGATTTTGCCTTCGAGGAATTCTGCCGCTCCATTAGGAAACAGGGTTGAATAAAGGCTACGTTTTTGTGCTAACGCCTTATTTGTCTTCACGTTTGTCCAAATGATTTGGGGCGGAGATTAACCACCTCACCACCACCTGAGCAATATCCATCAGACCAGAGTCTGTGGCTTGGATGGTGTTGGGAAGTAATCAAACTGAAACGGCTTGAACGTGAAGAGGGGCAGAATTCTTCAGGCTTTAGACCAGGGTATTTTTAGTCCACCTAATCACTTTAAAGACCTGAGTATGTGAGTTCATAGCGATGCTGAACATGTAGCACTGGTAGAACAATCGTTTAAAGATCGGGGAGAGCTTCAGTGACACCTGAAATCTGCTTACAGCAGCTTTTATTCACTCTAGACAGAATGAAAACAGCGCCAGTTCCACTGTTGTCTCTGGCACCAGAACGGAGCAGAAGGAAGACATCCTCTAGTGCGACAAGGTGGGCAAATGAGGATAAATGGCATCATTTTAGTGAGATGAAGAAAAGTCATTGCAAAAGGACGAAGGTAACACTGAAGCTGCTCTCCAGCGCTCAACTGTAATGAACTACAGTGTCATTGCTCATTTACAAAGATATTTATTTATCATATTGCAAAACCATTACATGGTGCTAAGTGTTAATCAAGCCAGTGAATGGCAGGCTAGCTGGAAAATGTGACAATTTGAATTTACTGTACTATCATGCTTCCTGACAGCGTATCAAAGCATAGCAGTCTAATCTGCATGAGAACTATGCACTGACGAAAAAACAAACATCCACACGTGCACGCAGCTCACTGAGTGTGCCTGCCCACGTCGACTTTGGTATATAACTGTCAACCTCTGCCTTCTTTTACGATCAGTCCATCGTTTCCAGATCCCAGCTTCTATGGACCGAACAAGTTATAAAAAAATCTGAAATATACATTTAAAACAAACCAGCATATTACATTATATTGAAAAAGATTCAAATGTAGTGCCTGTGAAAACCTGTATTATAATGCTCTTCTGAATACTGAATACTGTAATTGTTTATACATTTCTGACCACCAGTAGCCTTTGCTGTTTGTCAGGCCCCTCTGATTATAGCTAATGTTCAATAATCATAAGATATAACTGCATGCTCTTCCATAATCGCCTAGTAAACTGTTACGATGACAAATGAGAAAAACATTACAAAAACCAGATTGTTATGTTACTGTTTTGGTTCCTCTCTCATCTTTTTTTGTACCTCTCCCTATTTGCCTCAAACCGTTTTCTGCTCACCTCTTCATCCCTTCATCCTCACACATGGGACTCTTTCATCCTGACATGAAACCCCCACCACCGTTCTTCTACTGTGTGTGGGGTTATTGTCATCGATCTGAGGGTGCGCCACCATGATGCCTGCCCCGGGCCATCAGCAGACTGCAGGGTTTCAATCTGACAATCTCCAGCTACCTTTAGACATCAGCAAACACTCGTCTGGTCCAGCCTCCCTTCCCCGTCCATTGACCAGCGGGGCTCTCCCCAGGCAGTTTCCTGCAGGAGACCGGATCGATGGCCTCGGCCTTTGCTGCCGTGCTCAGCACTTTCCGGGAGAGAATCCCCTCCTTCCTCATCGAGCCTCCGCTGCGTCTCCCTTGGAAAGACTTCAAACCAGCTGCCGCTCATCCATGATGAGAAAGGTCTGGAAAGAGAAAGAGGTAGCCAGCACCTGGGAGACCCCCCCCCACCCTCTCTTCTCTGGGGTCGATCGGCTTGTCTAGCTTACCTCCAGTGGCTCCTCTCTGATTCCCTCTCCAGCCTGTCAATGCAGCTCAGCTCTTTGAAACTTGTGCATCTCTTTTAGGCAGAACACTTTGGGTGTTGTGTTGAACAGGCTGTTTTGTTAAAGGACAATGCCACTCGTTTTTTGTGAAGTTTACTTTTTGTTACAGCTAAAGATTTTCCAGAGAATGCTGTAGGGTTTTACGTGTATACAAATCTTTGTTGGAAGGCAGGATATTGTATAAAAGGTTTTTGTACTAGTTACAATACCAACATTTCTTTGCACCCGTGACTTGCCTTAAAGGTGTTATTTCAAAGTCCTCAAATGTGAAATGCTCTTCAAACTATAGCTCAACTGTGAAATCATGCAGGGCAGTATTAGTTTATTGCAAATATATTGGCTTTGTAATAGTCAGCCAATAACCGAAAAAAAAATCACTACAGAAATGCAATGATATGATAGTAAATACATTTCACAATCAAGGAAATCAGCTACAAAATCTTGAAGTCCACCTTTTTTTAACGTGTTTTTGGTTCATCGCCTTTAATAAGGTCTGTGGTTAACACAAGCTAAAGAGATTTGCACCTTTTGTTCTAAAACATAAAATACACCATTCCGTCTTTATCTTAGCGGTGGTGATGTGCACTCATGCGACCTTGATGTAGTTTGTTTATAGCCTAATGTTACCTTTATTTGCACCAATTGCATTTACGCTTAGAAATCACAGAGTTCTGTTTATATGTGGGAAGTATCCAACCCAGTCTCACGGCATTTCGTGTTATAGTCACAAAATTAATCTGTTGATTCGTGTTCACCAACACGATTTCCCCATTTCTTTCGTATCACACAGAACGATTTTAAAAGCAATGTATTTCTATTGGTAGTACGTTTCGTGCCTGCACCAAATAATAACAAATTAGAAGGAAAAAAAGATTTAAAAAAATACAGATTTCAGTATTCTGAGCCATTTCTTTTCCTCGCGGACGGCAAAAAAACTCCGTCATTATACTATTTAAAATAAAAGGGTTAGGGTTAGGCTTAGGGCAGGGGTCGGCAACCCCGGCAACCCCTGGCACGCGTGCCACCATTGGCACGCGGCACCGTAACCAGTGGCACACTAGGAATAAGTGGAATAAGTGTGCAAAATATTTAAATTTTATTTTCGGATCCTGAACCAGACCGCCGCCAGAGCGTGTCTCCCTGTTACCTGCAGTAACCTACCTCTCTTTAACTCCAGGCGACTTTCTGCCGCTTTCCTCCGTAATGCAGTGCTGATAGTTTCACCACAGAGGAAAGCACTTCACAAATGGCAGTACCCATAAGGAACTGTAAAAATGCCGCAGTTTTTGCGTGGCGATCGGTGCTCTCTAAAAATGCCGATCGCGAGAGCCGATCGCATGACACTTTTCTCTGTGCGCGGCAAAACAAGCTCGCCAAAATGGCTTCACCAGTCTGGCAGTATTTTAAGGTGTCCGAAAAGGACAATAAAATAGCGGTGCAACTGAAGCAGAAATCCTGCAGCTCCACCCGCTGTGACGGACCGGTGAGCGGAGCAAAACACACACTAAGAGTTAGACTTTACACACTTAGCTATTTTATCTACCTCTGGAACTAGTTATAAATATATTTATTCTTCACTGTCACTCATTACTGGATCAGTGAGCTGCAGGAGATACTGACAGG